GGGCGAGCGGGGAGCGGAGACGCTGCCCCTGCACCCACCATGCGGCACCCGCTCCTGCAAAACGGCAGCTCTGAAACACCAGAGATCATCCCGCTCCAGCCACCCATGCCCACAACTCATCTGTCTCAGGAGGCAGAATAAAAAAACAAAAAGGAAAAGGAAAAAATTGCTCAAAAAACAGAAAGGAAAAAAAAACCCTGCTGACCAAAGGGAAGCACCTGCTCGGTGCAGAGTACCCGGCCGTCGCTCGTGTCTGCAGGGACAAGCAGCAAGGCAGAAGGACGGGCCAGCGCCACCTTGCCTCCCGAAAACAGGGGACATCTCTGCAGTCAGGGGTGCAGAGGCACCTTCCCAAATGGTCTGTTCATCCTGTAAAGACATTTACAGGCATTTGCAAGTAGGGTCAAAGACCCAGGTAAGAAAGAAAACTTATAACATAAGCATCCATTTACTCCCCAATACCCAGTTCATCCTACACGTCCCTCCACCTGAGTCATTGCCATAAAACATCATGTTTTCCTATGATAACGTGCATCATTTTACTGAGAATTTGAGGACAGGTGAAGCCTGAATTGAGCCAAGTCAGCGGCAGCGCCGGGAGCAGGCGGTGACCCTGGCACGATGTGCAGGGAGGTTCTGGGCATCGGCATCACCTCCTTTCCACTATTACTTCCCACACTCCCAGCGAGGCCGTGTCGTCACTTTTTTCAGACCCTGATAGTGCAAATCACTTGCAGGGACTTGAAGCCAAGAGATGCAGTGGCGCAGACGGCTGGGGCAGCCTGGCCGGTACAGACCCGTCCTCAAGCACTGTGTGACACACGGTGACATGGTCTGCACACCATGAACAGCACAGCCCGGCATGGGCACTAACCCATGCAAAGCTCCACACATCAGCAATCCTTGGGGAACCCCAACAGGAAATTAAATTATTAGCAATTATCCGGAAACATCTGCTTCCCCACGGCACATGGTGGGGCAATTTGGACTAGCCCAGTTCTTTTCAGCACGGTTTTGTATAATGGGTGTATTCTCAAAATGCTATTTGGAAATAATGATATTGTAAAAGCCAGATACATCTGTCAGAAATAAACATCATCAGCAATGGCAGGCTAAGAAATACAACTAAAGTACAGTTACATTTCTTAAATTTAAGACAGAATTTGCATTCATCAAACCCATCAGGAGTGCACCTTCCTAAATGATGGTGAAACACATTAAATGCTCCAAAAGTTCAGTATGTGCAGACTGCTTAGACTACGTAAGGAAATAAAATGAGCCTCCCTTAAATGGTGAAGTCCAGCATTATAAAAGAGCTACTTTATACAGCAATGATTTGCGAGGAAAGTATATAAATGAACTAATCTTAAGTCTCTACATTTTTTCATAAAACATACTTAAAAATGCAAGATTTTTCTTCTAGGAGCCTCAATAAATGCAGCCAATGTGCTGTGCTTTAGGCCCAGGTTAAAGCGGGCCTGGTGATTCCCCACGCACAGCAGGAAGAAACCCTCTGACTAAGGGGTAGGAGGGAAGGGTCTCCCACAACTTGGAAGCGGCTGCAGGACTGCAAGCGGAGGGCAGCTGGTTTCCAAGAGTGATTTCCAAGGAAATCTTTAAATTCCAAGAAAAGCTCGTGCTGTGCTGACAGAGAAACCTCAGAAGGACCTCACAGAGCTGCTTACAGTCAAGAGCATTGGCAGATGGACCACAGGACAAATATATATAAGGCAAGGCAGGGACATGCACAACCCATGAACTAGGGTCTTCCCTTTAATTGCTCTCTGCGGGTGCATCGAGTATACACAGGAGACCTTCAAACCAGGACTGACGTTCAGTTTTACATAAGCCAAGATCTCCATCCCAACACATAATTGTCTTACTTACTGGGTGCAGCTGTTGGGAATTCAGCAGCATTTGGCTGATGATCAATCAGCCTTTCTCTGAACTCCCTCGTTAGACACGTCAGTGTCCTCAGGTGAGCTGCTGGCATGGGGACTCCTGAGACTAATCCTGCTGCTTCCACTCAGTCTGAAGCAAGTCTGTAAAAAAACGAGTTTAAATTGTGAGACAAGGGCAGTTTGCACTACAAATTAATGCCATGATGCTAATTTCATCAGATTATTTTAGCTTTCCTTGGGCTTTAAAGGAGAAATACAATTGCAGTCAGGCAAGTTTGTTGTCATTAATCATTAAACTGTTAGTCAATTTGTATGGGACCGAGGACTACCAATAAGCCATTAAATATGCATGATTTGTTTATGATATATTTGCATTTTAGTCACTTGAATTAGTCATTACTGTTGACCTTGCAAGAGGTGTGGTGCCTTGCCTACACAGCCTCTTAAACAGGGCATGTTTATTCCCACCCGAATTTCATCCCAGAGAGCAAAATTGGATTTAGAAACATTCTTTTAGGTTGTTAACCAATACTAGTGAAAATAAATCAGTGCTTTGCTCTCAGACAAGGCATTTTCAGTACGTGCCAAATGCTTCAGCAGCAAACACTCCATGGCCCAGGATGTGGCAAGCTCCTTGCAGTTCTGCAGAAACCCCCTGCTAAAAGCCGCTGCTGCCGTGGTGAGGACGGTGGGGACAGCGGGATCCCGGGGACACGGGGACGTGGGATGGTGGGGAACAAGCCGCAGCCTGCATTCCACCAGTTCTCCTCCATAAAGCCTTTCCAGCATTTTTAAAGGTTTTGCAAAAGGCTTCATGTAAAACAATATGTACATATATGCTACAAACTTATATTTTATATAATATATAAATGGCAGCTGAGTGGAACACCGTGCAAGTAGAATAAGCCCAATGTAGAACAGGAGAACGTGGAGAAGTGCAGCAACATGATCTACACCAAGGAACAATTCTGAATATCACCTTGAGAAATAAACATGATTTTTTTCTTCTTTTTTTTATATAAATTTGCAGGCCCTTTTCTGTGATCTGTTTTGAGGTTAAAGAATATTAACCCCACCAATACTCAGGGTATAGTGAGTCACTCTGTCTTTCCTCGGGAGCCCAAAGTTGTGATAACAAGAAGCACTGCAGCAGCAGCTGCAAAGCCCCTCACCGGGCAGGTGAACGGCACTCGCTGCCTCTCCTGTCCCGGCTTGGCCGTTCTGCCCGTGGCATTTCCCCATCCAGGCCAGCCGCAGCCGGGGCTGGCACTGCAGAGCTGTCACCTGCTGTCCCCTGCTGGCAGTGTCCACCCAGGGACGCTGGGGAAAATCAGAGCTTTGAGCTCTAACCCCTCAAGGGGAAGCCCTGAATTTTTGCAGGAATTGCTTGCCCTGCACAGTAACGGGCACCCCAAGTGGTGCTGTTCAGCCTGGCATTACAATAGAGCTGCCAACTGGGAACACTTCTACCTACAGTGTTTAAAATGCTACAAAAGGAGCTCTTAGCGCAGCGTGCCTCGCCAGTGCAGACCATGGCAGGCCATGTCCATCCTGCCATGGAGGCCACAGAGCTCTGGAGCTTTTACACAACAGAAAAAAACAGGGTGCTAGAAGTAAATGTTTCTGGTATGCTGTGATCTTTATAAAACCAAGAGCCAATGAATTTGTGCATTCATCACTCTGAATTTTTAGGATATACATTTAATACACAGTTTATACAGAGGATAGTTGCTCAAGGACAGATGAACGGTGTTTCTTTTTTCAGCCTTATAGAACTATATAATTTTATTTTTAAAAATGCTACTAAACAATTTTAGCATAATTAGAATATCTGATAGAAACCTCATTTATTAACTGCAGCATAAAACATGCAGCAGTGCAGCGTAAGGCTGCCGTCCTTGATTTCCTTGATTTGACGCACATCCAGTGCTGCTAATGGAGTAATTCCCTCCAGCAGCGCCATCAGGGGCAGTAGCTCTGCACCAGCCCAGCGCCCAGCACAGCTCTGTTTGTAGCCCTCGCACTGCACTACAGCCACCAGGTCCGTCTGCAGGGCCCGCCGTGAGCTCCGCCAGGGTCACAAGGACGCAGGCACCTCCCCTGGCCAGGCTTCCACAAACGGCCTTTCACATGGTGGAATTTGGCCGCTGCAGAGCCTCCCTCTACTCAAGAACCACTGTTCGATCCAGTGAGCACGAGCCGGACACGTTAAATCAACATTTCGTGTTACAGGTTGTCATTTAACCACTGAATGTACTGACGTGAGAGCCTGTGGCTTATGGCCAGCTCTCCCGGGCTGGACACAAACATGAACACGCCGTGGAAGGCATCGTGCGCATGGTGGTGTGTGACGGGCACGCCGGCGGCCCGCAGGCGCCGCACGTACATGACGCCTTCGTCCCGCAGCACGTCGTGCTCGCACGTGAGCACGTAGGTGCGGGGCAGGCCGCGCAGGGCCGCGTCGCCCGCGAGCAGCGGGGCCGCGCGCACGTCCAGGAACCCCGGGTACTTCTGGCCGAGGCTGGGGCTGCCCGGGACGGGGCTGCGGTAGACGTGGCCTCTCTTCATCTCCTCGGGCAGCAACGTGCTCCAGTTGACGAAGCCAAACAGGTGGCTGGACTCGGGCGGCACGTGCCTGTTAGCGGCCATGGCCTCCCGCAGAGCCACGTCTGTGGTGAAGTACTCGCTCCAGAACCGGATCATGAGGGCCTTGGACAGGATCGGCTTGTCCTTGTTGTCCTGGTACGAGGGCAACTCTAGGTCCAGGGTTTGGAGGGCAGGATAGATCAGGGCTTGCACTTTCAGTTTAGGGACTTCATGGTCACCTAACAGCTGTGAAATACAATTACAGAGTCAGAAAAGAAGTTCTGATTCTCTAACACGGACAGTGGAGCTTAAAAGGAAGGAACAAATACACACATTAGATTTAAAGACCTTCCAAACTCATAAACTCGTCGCCTACACTACCTTGTATAAAAAGTCTCAAACATCAAATACAATTTCAGGCCCTCTCATATTAAAGAATGACAGTATTTGTGAAATTGTTTTCAAGCATTAAGAGTCATAGATAATTTCCCAAGTAGTAAAAGATAGTTATTTATAAATGCTGACAATTTTAATTTTGGAGTTCTGAGGATTCTTTATGTCACACGGTAGAAAGATTATCCATCCTGTTTCCTAAACAAAAGGTGTTAGAATTCAAATAACTGGGATTCCATGGGTTTTAAATATTATCCACAACACATCCAAGA